AAGTTGTTTTCGAATTGGCGAGCACAATTTGCGTGAACCATGCTTTCCTATAACGTTAACTAGAAAATTCTATCTATTTTTCGCAACGAGGCGCGACATGTACCAAGCTTAATTATAGAGAAAAGGAGGAGCTGTCAAATTAGCACCAGAGCACCAGTTGTTCACTCTAGTTGTTCGCAGATGACAAGCGTTACAGTCCTGTGATCGGAATATAATCATAGAGGTAACTCTAAGACCACTGGGTCCCGAAGAAAATCATTATTATTTTTGGCTCACTCAGTACCAGAACAACGGTCCCAAGCAGTCCCAAGCTATTTCACTCACCCCTGCATGTTCTGCATGAATCCACACACCCCTGATGTTATCTGTCAAACTTTCATAGCGAATCAAAACAAACATAGTGTAGTAATAGAATTTCAACTAGAATAGGGTACGTTAATCGTTTGCTTGGGACCAATAGGCTACTAAAGTGGTGAGCCAATTTAAAATCGTTAGTTTCGTATTGATTGTTGATATAATGATGATGATATGAACTTAACCACCGTGACGTCATACTTTTCGTTCCAATTGGAAATGACATCCGCTGCGGGCAATGTTTACAAGTCTGTTTTTAACAAAAGTTTATCCGTTTCATAGTCTCAAAGTAGTATTTCGCGGAAAAGATGACTAAAAAGTGCATTGTTCCAAAGTGTAATTCAACCCACAAAACGGAAGGGGCTCGGTTTTTCCGATTCCCGTCCGTGAGAAGCAGTATGGTGGAGATATCCCAGCGGAGGTTCCGCGAATGGAAGAACATTCTCGGATTCCGAGAATGTTTTAATCCAAAAGATAAATATGTTTGTAACCAGCATTTAATTTCTGGTAATAATTTGAATAATTTGAAAATATGCTGCAAGTATAGAATAAATATTTTTCTAGGGAAAGCTGTCAGGATTTCCGACATAAATGTTGATGATTGGGTACCTACATTGAATATCGCAAAAATCGATTCCGTAGTGTTGGATGATCTTACGGATCTCCTTGATCAAGAATGTCAGGAAAGTGCAGTTAATGCTGATGAAACAGCAACTCGTTTGATTGTCGATCAGGTTGATTTCGAATCGTTCGTGGGAGGATTGTTGGAAGGTGCAAATTTAAACTTCACAGTAATGCCCCAAATCTCGCTTCCTCGGAATGAAACTCCTGGTTTCTGGAACGAGCAGAACGAAAATAATTCTTCATTCATTCTCGAGTGTAAGTACATTTTATGCTCTATGTTGGTATGTTATATATCTAGTATGTATTTGCAGCTGCTGACAAAGTCAATGATGGTGTTGTGCCCATCAGTAGCGGCATCGGCAATTCAACCAGCTTTTCTGAGCAACGAAGTGATGCTCAATGTTGCCTGGAAAGAACCGATCATAACTACTGTAGAGTTGAACCGACATGGAACTGCACTGTGTTTCAAAACTATTCTGAGCAATTAACTTCTTCCGATTCAACTGATGGCGTAGATGATGCAGATCATTCTCAACAAGGTGTTATTATTTTTTAAATATGTTTATGCGATATTATTACAGTTTAATACATGTTTTAGAGGCTTGCAGTGCCACGCACAGACGTGAGACATTCGATATAGCTGGACACAGTGCTCAAGGTGCTATAAACGCCACCATATTGAACCTGGAAGAGTTGAACAGGCTGCAGGAGAAAGAAAAATATCAAGATAGCATCATGAAGGCGTACCAGAAGGAACTAGCGAGGCTGCAAACGAGAGTAGACGTTTTGGAAAAGGAACTTTCGAATAAACAGCATGGTTTGCTTTGGATAGATGATGACCAGCGCTGTAAGCGATTCACTGGCATAAGTAGCTTCAAAACATTTAAAACGATTTTTGAATATGTCAAGAATTGCTTGTTTCAGCCTCACTGTGCTCTAACAAAGGATCAAATGTTCATAATGACTTTACGTAAACTGCGTCGCAACACACCGTTTGTAGATTTAGCAGATGAATATTCCGTTTTTACTACGACAATATTGAAATATGTTCATAGAACATTATTTGTTCTGTACGATAGATTGAAATATGCCTTAGAGCCTGTTTCGAGAAATAAAGGGTGATACGGTCAAAATTTGGTCAATATCAACTTGACGTATTTCTTTCAATTTTGCATTTAAAAAACCTGAACACCCCTCATTTTGAAGGTGTGTGTGTGTGTAGAATGTTGCTCCTATTTTGATTTTGGAATTCACTCTTCAGTTGTCAAAATGCCGTCCAAGCAAGAAGAGCAGCGTATCAAAATTTTGCTCGCGCATCGCGAAAATCCGAGCTACTCGCACGCAAAGTTGGCAAAATCGCTAAAAGTTGCCAAATCAACCGTTACAAATGTAATTAAAGTGTTTGGGGAACGTTTGTCGACAGCCAGGAAGTCTGGATCGGGGGGAAATCGAAAACCGGAAGCCGCTGAGACGACAAAGAGAGTTGCCGGTAGTTTCAAGCAAAACCCTAACCTCTCTCTCCGAGATGCCGCAAATAAGCTGGGTGTATCGTCTACAACCGTGCATCGAGCCAAAAAACGAGCCGGACTATCGACTTACAAGAAGGTAGTGACTCCAAATCGCGATGATAAACAAAATACGACGGCCAAAGCGCGATCCCGGAGGCTGTACACGACGATGCTGACGAAGTTTGACTGCGTGGTAATGGACGACGAAACCTACGTCAAAGCCGACTACAAGCAGCTTCCGGGACAGGAGTTTTATACGGCAAAAGGAAGGGGAAAGGTAGCAGATGTTTTCAAGCACATGAAACTGTCAAAGTTCGCAAAGAAATATCTGGTTTGGCAAGCCATCTGTACCTTTGGCTTGAAAAGCAGCATTTTCATAGCTTCCGGGACTGTCAACCAAGAAATTTACGTGAAAGAGTGTTTGAATAAACGTCTGCTGCCTTTCCTGAAGAAACACGGTTGTTCCGTACTGTTTTGGCCGGATTTGGCATCTTGCCATTACGGTAAAAAGGCCATGGAGTGGTACGCCGCCAACAACGTGCAGGTGGTTCCCAAGGACAAGAACCCTCCTAACACGCCAGAGCTCCGCCCAATTGAGAAATACTGGGCTATTGTCAAGCGGAACCTAAAGAAGACCAAAAAAACTGCTAAGGGCGAGCAGCAGTTCAAGGCAAACTGGCTTTCTGCGGCGAAGAAGGTGCACAAGGTGGCTGTACAAAATCTGATGGCAGGGGTCAAGCGTAAGGCCCGGCAATTCGGATTTGGAAAAGCGGAAGCCTAACTGAATATTTTTCCTGAATTTTATACTAATTGAACTTGAAAAAGAAATTTAATTTGATTTTTTAAATAAATGATTTCACCGATTTACACGCGTTTTCCCTTGACCAAATTTTGACCGTATCACCCTTTATAAGCATTCGCCCTCTTCCTCAAATTTTTCGGCAACAGTACGGATACAGTCGTGTACACATTATCGATTGCTTTGAGGTCACTACTGAAGAACCTATAGATGTTAAGGCTGCTCTTTCTCACCACAGCTCCTACAAAATGAGAGAAACTACAAAGTTTTTGATTGCAATGTCTGCTGATGGAAGAGTGTCTTTCATTTCACATGCATACGCTGGTCGATGCTCGGATCGAAACATCGCTGAAATTTCTGGATTTATTGATACACTTGAGCCAGGCGACGTTGTAATAGCCGATAAGGGTTTCGATATAAGCGATTTGATATCTTCGAAAGGTGCAATACTGAATATCCCAACATTCCTTCGAAAAGACTGACAGTTGAATCCCTTGGACATGGAGAGAGATAAGCAAATAACAACGTTAAGAGTACATGTAGAACGGTTGATCGGAGTGTTGAAATCGAAGTACGAGTATCTGAACGGGCTTGTCAAGGTAGATTCTTTGAGACGATTGGAGAATAGCATCAATGCTGTAGATCTAGCCGTATGGGTGTGTTGCATATTGGTAAATTTTAATAACTCTATTGTGTAAGGTTCCGTGAATTTGTTCAATTGCATTTGCATTCTTCATCATACAAAAAAAAATAAAAGAAATTGAGAAAAACTGGTTTATTCGGCCATTAATTTACAAAGCGGTTTCTTTCTCCGTGTAATAATTTCCCAGCAACTCAGGAACAATTATGTTGTAAAATTACATCTGGCTACGCTGGTTACAGTTCTTCCACAAATCTGCATTTCTTTCAACTTTTATCACACAACTTTCGGTCTTGCTCCAAACCATGAAGAGACCAAAGTCGGCTCCAGTTATGAACATTTGTGCTTGAATTGGGAAGTGATAAGCGTGACTCTCGACTATCTCAAATGTACCATCAGTCATCTTGATGAATGAATTAGGAAGAGCTGCCAACTTTTCCAGACCCAACTGCTCATTCAAAGAACTTTTCGCATCTAATCGATAAGGGCATTTGATTTCAACAACAAATTTCCCACAGCACGAACAGCTGTCGGGTGATGCTGCTAGAAAATTGTTTTCTCGATCAAGAAATATTCCACAATCAGACAGTCGTAGGTTTTCGTGTTGTTTAGCTAACATTTTACCCAAAGATTTTTTAGCAAGTGGCTCATTCTTCCGGCCGTAGGCAAGTGCTGGTGTGTCAAAGTTCTTCATATACGGGTGGCATATTTTTTTTAGCAAGGTCAGCTTCGGTGGAGGATACTCATTCGATGTGTTCACCACTTGCTTGAGACATGAAGCTGTTACTCTTCCTGTTCGGACCCACTTCCAAAAACTACAGTCCCTTTGCATACGGGTCAATTTCTCAACTAATACTACATCAGATTCTGTCAACATAAACTTGAATCCTCGTCTCAAATCTCTAAGATATTGTAGATTACTTGCACGTAGAGCGATGTTGAAGTTTCCTTGGAGCAAGATACTTTTGTTGGTGATGAGCTCATCGGGAACGTGATTATCCAGACAGGTCTGGCACGAAAAGCTGACACCGTCGTTTATAATTACAGCTTTTCCGTCATCATCTCTCAGCTTCCTTCACATATCGTCAAAATCAGCTCTTGTCTTACCAGCTACAGTATCATAGTAATACTTCGATGTCTTCCCGTAACTAACATCTCGAACTTTTTTGTACAGATCGGTCCGAATGTTTTTCGATGGCTGGCGCCAGTAGCATGGCATATCTGTAACTGTGACCTTTACATTGATTAGTGCATTATTTGATTCTATTAAAGGAATTTAAGTAATATCTTTCTATTAATAGACTGGGCATGAAGATTAGCTAATGAGTACAGGATGGCACTGACATGGGAGCAAGTCTCGCTTATACCGGCAACGCAGGTGCAGTGTGCATATATTATGTTTCCTCGTTGGTCTAAGATTATCCATGGTTTCAACATACCTTCCCTCAGCTTCATCGAGTGGATAACCTGACAAAAGATTTAAAAAAAATAAACTTACTATGTGTTACCCACAAATATGGTTTCTTACCTTTCCAACAACAACATGATAGCCTTCTCGTACAGTTCCCTGGACGGAATGCACGAACCCGGATTCGAATTTTTTATACCCATCCATACTTCGTAGATTCTTCATAGGATGACCAGTAGTAACCGTGGACGGGATATTCTGGTTTCCAAGCGCAGGGAAGGACATACTGTATGGATCGTTATATCCAATCACTTTGATTTTTTCTAAATATCTGCGGTATACATTTGGTGTTGTTTTCGGCAATCCTTTAGCATATTTTGAAAGACGCCCGCCGATTGGATTGAGCTGGCTTAACTGCAACATTTTCAACGCACGTACGCGAAATAGCAAAATATGAGACACTCGAGAAATTGATACAAATAATCACAAATTAGTTTCGGAGTATTTAAATGCACTACATCGAACTAGTTTTGTTTTCAATGCATTGAAAAGCAACTACTCAGCTGATCTGGTTTGTTTGTAAACATTGCCCGCAGTGGTTTTGACATTTTCGAGGTTAAATGCGTTCGTGGATAAGTCCATCGATCATCCTCTTCCCTCGGCTGATCATCAGCGCAGGCACTGGCATATGTCATACTGACACCTGTCATTTATTGAGCCCTGGTGGTGAAGTTGGCGTAGGACTCCCAACAGCTTCAATGTGCACTTACCAGATGGAACTGCGATCACATAAGGGTGGTGTATCCATTGCCTTGTTCGAGGAATTGATTTGTGGGATATTTAGGCTTTTTCAATCCACAACCAATGTAGAGGGCGCTAGAAGAGCTCGAGAGGAAACGTCAACCAAACCGTTGGTTTGCATCAGAATAAGCATTTTTCACAACGCAAATTAAAGTATTTTTCATTGAATTTCTTGCCAATTTCCATCTTATTTGTACCTCAATTATTAACACGCAAGAAATCCGGAAGATCATAACCACTAAGGCACTTTTCTAATTTTCCATTTTTCTCAACAAAAATATTCTTGAACACCAGCAGGATCTTTGCAAAAACGATACAGAATTAAATTTTTCAATTGTAGATTATGTTTTGGAGCATCTCAGATGAACCAATTTATCAGGAAAAGTGAAAAAGTGTTCCACTTTCTATGTCTCACGGCAAAAATTTCTTCTCACAACACTCTTTTTGACATTCTCCTATTCACCACCAGAGGTTGAATCGATCGCTTAGATTCTATTTAAAAGGCCTATTGTTAATTAAATATCTTTGATAGCACGCTATTGAATATTTTTTAATCGGTCAACTAGTACCGGAGATATGGGCAGAACAAGTTCCGCTCAATATGGGCCTCAATACTAGAAGTGACCTGAAATGTGCCAACCATATCATGCGACACCTCAAATCACATGATAAATCAAAACCTATAGTTCAATGGTAGTTATATCAAGTGCTCAGGACCGCATCGTTCACATGTGGACTTGCTTTAAGAACACTAAGTTGAGCGCAGGCGAAAGCTCGTGTTATAGCATCAAAATCCAACATAGCATGAATCAGCAATATTGTTTACATGCTTGTGCAAAATTGTGTTCTTTACGGTAAATTGAGCTCAACATTATGCGAGGGAGATTTCATGCTATGATTAACTCTCCGAATTTATTTTCTTTATATAGGGGAAATGAATGTAATGTCGGCCTAAATGCCCCTAATTTGGGCCCATAGCAATGCACTAAATTTTCAATAGCGACCAAAAATATCCATTAGTACCGTCCCAATGACACGTTACTCGACAAAAAGTACGTTCGATTGAGTTGAATTTCGCGTCTGTTATGACTCAACTTTATGTCAAAATTGACACTCGTATACGTCACTCTCAGACCACATTTTTCTAAGTGTGCAATTTTGATTTTCAGCAAATTAAAATTTCCAAACGCAGTTGATCCGTTATCAACCAGCTCGCTCCGTCCATCCTACCAGCCGATGCAGTTCTCACTTTCGTTGAAATCTCCGATGAAAGATGCTGCTGTACCCATGCGCACGCATGCTCCAACGAAGTCCCAAAGAGGAAAACCAAAGCGGGTGGACAGGGCGGGCAGGCAAGTGGCATGATCCGGGAGAGGGAGCGGGGGTAAGGTCGGGAAAAATGTGACTGGTCCTCTAGCAAGAGTCTACCACACAGCCAGCAGCGACCAAGAGACACATTGCCTTTCAACTGCACGACGACGAAGACGTCCGTCGTCGGCCGGCCTGCGACTTGTTTGCCTGGAAAGAGATGAACTTGTTTTTCTTTCGATTTTCATTGCGATTCATAAGTTTTTCTGCCCGTCGAAGAAGATCCAATCCGTCAGGTTTTCTTTTCTCTTTTCAGTTTTTTTTCCCTTGCACCGCAACCGCACATTTAGTATACATATATATGTGACTAAATCCGCAAACTCTTGAACGACGGCGGCGGCGAATGGCAAGTGCTTTATGTCCACTCGGTACGAAAACGACGACGACGACGACGACGACGACCAGCCAGCGACGAGCGAGAACCTGCGCAGACCAATGGACTTGGCTTGATGGTTGGTGTACCGAACATGGATCTTACCGCCAAGAGACCAAGAGAGGGAGGGGCGAGGGGCAGACAGTAGACACAGACTCGGCTTAAAGAAGTACCTGTTTGACACATATTTTATATCGGTTTGGTCAGAGCCAGTTGTCGATTGATGGCGATACTTATCAATTGATTTCTAATCGCGCGCGCTCCGAACCCGTCCAGGAACTGGCCCCTGGTCGGTGGAGGAGACCAAAGGCTGGCACCGGAGACGGAGATGGTTCGATTTACTGTTCTTGCATGGGGGATTTGGTCTTGCACTGGCAAATGGTCCATCGTTAAAATTTGATTGACCGGAGAACTACGTGATCAACGTCCATTTGTCATTGCCGCCAGACAGCATCCAACGCCATTCTAGGTGGATTGATGCCGATTTTTTCCGCTCTGTCTTCTTCGTCACAAGGTTTGTGACGCTGCTCCGCTATAAGTCAAACTGGAGTGATAAGTGAAATCGAGTGATCACAACAAGAGTTTCGAACCATATCGCCACGCTACTGCTGCTGCTGCTGCTGAACCGCTGACTGCTATCGAGCAACAGCTCTAAAACCAGCACAATTACCAAAAATAGATGGCATCTGCTCGGTGCGGTCGTTGGGTAGCATACATGTTCCGTTGTGTGCAGTACGCGGATCTAGCCGGGTGAGCGCTCTGACGCGTGCGTGGATTGCACTCTGATTAGAGACCGCAGAAAAAGGGAAACTCGCGGTTTCTAACCTACAAAACAGACAAACAAACAACCAAACAAACAAGCCAGAAACGGGCAGAAATCCGCGCTCCAGTTCCAATTTTCGCACGGTCGTTGTCGCCGTCCTCCCTCGGCCGATGTCCGATGTCGATGACGACGAAGCGAAGAGGAGTCGCTCATTAGGTATCAATTTTCGTCACACGCCCAAAACGTGCCCGGAATCAATCTGGACCCGTCGTCGTCGTGGACATGCAAACTGAACTGACAGCCTCAGCACCAACAGCAGTATGTAGGTTGGTAGGTAAGGTACTTGAGCGCTCCTCCTGGACCTGGAAGGCATATCGAAACTTTCGCTCATTAGTCCATTTTTGCGTGCGTGTGTATGCTAGTGGTTTGGTTTTTTGGATTTGGTTCTGCTGCGTGGTGGACGTGGATGACCCAGCCCTCCGGGTGATATCATTGTTGCTGCTGCTGCTGCTGCTCCTGCTGTTGTGGCTGTGGATGCTAATTTTGTATTCTGCCAGCGATCATCTTTTGCTTTGCTCGGGGACGGAATTTTCCGCATTTTATGGAATTTTTACTATCATCATCTCATTTTCCTTTCTGTGACGCTCTTACACGAACGCCTACTCTCAACTGTGTGTTCTTTGAAGCATTTCTGTTACTGATTGGGAGCTTTGTATGCAAACTAAATGCATGAATTTCCAGGGTCGCTTCCACTAACTATAAAATATGATTTTCGGAATAATGATGATTTGTGGGTCATTCCAGCTCAAGTGGGTACAGAATTTAAAAAAGTTGTAGTCGTTGTCACCGATTTGAGCCAAACTTAACCAAAACGCTTATTTTGACATTCTGAACAAACGCCTTTTTTGATTTTACTCGAAAGTGCCTAGATCGTTCTGGGCTACAACCCTGATAAAAAAAATCAAATTGCATTGATTTTCCACCAGAAAACCTCAAAACTATCATATTTCAAAAGCTATTTGTCCAAATCATTTGCCCTTGGAAACACATCAAGTAGAAGAGTTTTCCAAATTGTGGTGAAAAATTGAGCCCAAAATATTAGGAAATAAAAAATCCCGCCCATGGTGAAAATACGCAATCTTTTGAAATTTTTGGGACCTGCCGCTAAACAGTCTGTTTACTGTACTTACTATAACAAAAACAAAATATGGGTACACCCATAAGAATCAACTTTAAAATTGACGTTCTAAGATCACGAATAGCTTATTTGGTTGTGGAGTATCTCTTCTGAAAGTTGAAATTTTTAAAAATATCGAAAATCCAGGGTTGTAGCCCAGAAGGATTTAGGCACTTTCGAGTAAAATAAAAAAAAGGCCAAAATAAGCGTTAAGGCCAAGTTTGGCTCAAATCGGTGACATAAACTACAGTTTTTTTTTTTTTTTTTTAATTATAGTCACTTTAACGCTCTTGGGTCTTGTCCGGGGGTGAGATTTGAACTCGTGACTTTGGCGTGAGAGGTATGAATGCTAACCACTACGCCGGGGTCGCCCCCGACTACAGGTGGTGTACCCACTTGAGCTGGAATGGCCCATATGTATGTTACAAGAAGAGGTTTGAAAGTACGTGTTTGACTCATAAAACTTGTCAATTCCGCTTTCAGAGCGTTACAATTATCGATTTTATGATTCGTGAGCGTTCACTCAGAGTGAGCGCTCACGATTCGTGAAATCGCTGATAGTGACGCTCTGAAAGTAATGTTGACAGGTTTGATCTGGCTTGGCGTCTTGTATGTCTATTGCACTTATTATTTCCGTAGTGTTGTGGGATTTTTTGGCTTCTGAATCTGCCTTTTCATTTCCAATTATTCCAATATGGCTAGGGACCCAGCCAAAAGTTACACATGAATGATTGTGTGCTGCCTTATTATAGAGGTCGATGATCTCGTCTTTCCAAACGCTGAGGATTTTTTGTTTTTTCCAGTGTTGTTATTGCGCTTAGGGAGTCCGTATTAATGATATATGCTCCGGCTGTTTCCTGTGGGACAATCCATTTCAGTGCTTCGATTATGGCGAGGCTTTCTGCTGTGTAGATGCTGCTCAAGTTTCTTATTCTTTTACGTATAGTTAAGCCTGCAGTCACTACGCTGT